TTTTTTTTTTTTTTGTGTGGGGGGGGGGGGGGGGGGGGGGGGGGGGAGAGGGATAGATGATATTAGCTACTAGACCTTGTCTTAAACTATTATATTTTCCCCAATTATCACAACACAACGGAAATGGTTCAATCTATGGTACAATAGGTAGAAGTTAAATCTTTTTAATTTTCACAAACTCCATACTTGTTATTGTTCCTCACAATCTTCATTCACTGCAAATTTTCATTAAATCATGTTTGACCTTGTCAATGATGTAGATAGGTTAATGGTAGGAGGTTTACCCTACATTTACAAGAAATATTTTGATGCTTTCTAGTTCCTCCATTAGCGTTATTGTTTCCCTGCCACAAACAATGCAAAATGAACAAATGTGAGGAATGCCTAGTCAGGCAACTAATTCTGCTAAATGACATCATGCAAGAATGTAGTTTATTTTGTTTCCTTCGGCAATCATAGATTTAGTTTTGACAATGTCTTTTTCTTCTTCCTCTATTTTCTATTGTTGTAAAATGAAACATTAATACCGGCCTAAGAAGCACAGACACGGATATGATCCGATACGGACACTTAGACTTGACATTTATAAAAAGAGTAGGACGTGGACATGTTGGGGACACACTATAGATAATTGTTTTTTTATATAAAATTATATAATTTATTAGGGGTGACAATTTGCCACTCAACATGACTCGAATTCGACATGAATTTTATGACACGAACTTGATTATAACTTAACTCGAATTCATGCAAACACTAAATATAAATGGATTAGATTCGAGTTTAACCCACCAAACCCGAAATTGATACGATCAACCCGTTTATTTAAGAATGGATATTCTCTTTTTTCTCGTTTGTATGGTAACACGAACAGCACGAAATTAACATTGTTAACTAGTATTATAGAAATAAAATATTAATTATTTGTAATTGTTTAATAAGTACTGACATAATTATTGTATTAAAAAAAAATTATTCATTATTATTATTATGTTTATTAAATTAATTTTTAGTTTATAAAAAATGTATGAGCATGGATTCAATTAAGTGAAAATAGATATTCGCGTTAAATTTTTTATTCAAATTTTATGTGGGTCAACACGAACACGAATACGAATACGAACATAACACAAAAATAAAATGGTCTTCTCGATACAACACAATTAGCTAAATGGGTGGGGTTAGGATTGACTAATGTTCAACATGAATCTGCAATGATCCGATACGAATCTAACAAAACACGACTCAATTGTCACCCCTATAATTTATCACAAATATTTATAATGATATATTATTCATAAAAAATTATGTACCTTACGCTAAGTAAATTTTAGGTCTAGTCATCTAGTGTGAATCTTTGGACTAAAGCACCATAATAATCGGTAATCATCATTTTTTTTATTTAATTATGGACGCAAAAAAAATAATATCGGACATATGTTTGAGAGTGTCTGATGAGGGTCGGTGTCTGACTCATACATCACCTTACCTTTTTTAGAGTGTGCTTCATTACCGGCCATCACATTTCTGAGAAAATTACCATGCCCTAGGAGTAGTCCAAGTTGATTACGGAATGTTGAATTTAAGAACCCAACTTTACAGGGTCATCTGTTTTGTTGAGCTCAATGGTGATTGGGCCCATATAAGTTGGGGTGTCAGGCTTTGTAAGACAGCTGCTAAGTCCAGCATTTTACAACTTGAAACAAAAGGTTTTACACAACCTCTATATACGGAGAGGCTTTGGAATGAAATGGTGTGTTACTAAAGAGCCTGTGTAAACATCGAACATTTGGTCATAGCATTTATGGCTGAATTGTCCATAACAAACATCTTGGTATAGTGGCTTGTTGAATTTTTCATCTCTCCCAAAAGGATAGTGTGTAATTTGTGTTTTACCATTTTCAATGATTGCAGTTGAGGAGTGCCATTGATCCAAAGAGGCACTACAAGAAGGGTGATTCAAAATCAAGAGCACTTCCCAAATATTTCCAGGTTAGTCTGTGGTTGAATAATATGCACACACACAGGAAGTATAAATGATTGTATGCATTCCCTTATCTTGCATTGTATTGATTCTGCTTGGTTAATTTGTACAATAATTGGGTATTTGGACAATGAATCAGTTGGGCACAGTGATAGAGTCAGCATCAGAATTCTTCACCGGTAGACTTACTAAAAAGGAGAGGAAAGCAACCCTTGCTGATGAGCTACTTTTTGATCATACCCTAGCAGAGTACAGGTATGGCAGACATCTATTCTCCTACAAATATTAGAGCATGCTTCTCACCCACAAGGAGAGAGGATGGGACAAAAGAAAAAAGGGGGGAGACGAGGGGGGGGGGGGGGACAGGGG